CTTCTAAAAGGAATTAGTTTGACTGATCTCAAGTTTTTTTTTCCTTCTTGTGATCATATATTATAATAACTCGAGATATTTATTGACTGTGATAAGTTTACAATGTTTACAGGTAAGGAAGTTAAAATTAATACACATTAAATTCTACTGTCTTCACACATTAGTCGTTTTATCGAACATTTCCAATTATTTTTATGTGAATTGGAATCTAGAATACTGGCTTCAAAACAAAAATATAAACAGTTTTAAGGAATGCTACCTTAGAAAGAAACATAAAATTTTAAACTTGGCTAATAAGAGCATATTATATTCATCAGTAGATATACCTGGTGTCAAATAGGATTCTTATATAATCTGTTAAATTCAAAAAACTTAGTAATTATCCATAAATATGCAATTAACCATTGAAAAACACTTAATATTAAGATAAAGCGTTTTTCAATAATTACTTAGTTTTATGAATTTTCCAGATTCTACAGGGATTCTGTTGTAACTTTCTGACACCAGTTAAGTTCACTGATGAATATATACTCATATTGACCATTCTTGAGAACTTAAATTTTATGTTCATTCTAAGACATAGTATCATTTTAAACTTAAATTTGGGAAGTTTTCCATTGAAATATCTTGTCGGATGTGTGTTCTATCTTCAAACCTTTCTCTAACAGTTTTAAGAATTATCCTTGTTTTTAGTATTATTTCAGTGTTGCCACAAATTGAGATAGCGTTTTTATAAGATTCATGAGATTGTTTCCATGAAAACGTTACAAATGACAGCGTGACATCAATATTATATTCAGGGAAGAATGTTATTTTAAAAGCTACATCTCGTTCTTAAATTGTTTACAAACTGTAAGCTTATGTATAATTGATATGATTTTCATATTAAAAAGAGACACTGATAGCTAAAATATCAGCTAGTAAAGTAATTATTTAGACATTTATCAAATTGTGATTTGTGTGCTACGATATTGTATTTTTTTTATCACTATTGGAATTCTTAGACCTTGAAGATAGGTTCCCTTATTTTTTAGTGTCAAATTAAGCAAACTATTTGATTAATTGGTGTTTGTAATTAATTATCATGTATTCTTAATCATATAATTATGTTCTTATTGAACATAATAAGTTTTGACCAATCATAAATGTCCTTGTATATACAGTTTTGATAAACAAAAAAAAAAGACTTTTTGACCTTTCTTGACCGGTCACTCATTGGAATTATCTTCTAATTTAGCTAATTAGGAATTAATTATGGACTTTTTGCAAGTCATTAGAACACCTCTACTTTCTATTCATAGAAGTATTAGAATTTCATTTTCATAAATGAAAATAAGGGAACCCATCTTTAATATATTATTTCAATGGGAAATCAAAATTAGGCTTCTATGCTAGCTACGAATATTTTTGGATGTTTCGGACAAGAAAACCTCATGAATCATGGCTTGGTATTAGAAGTGCCAATTTAAAAATAAAAACATCAGATATAGGTGTAGATAGGTATCAATTGTATTGTTATTATTATTAGACCTACTAACATAGTTCTAGATATATTACTGTTACTGTACTTACATAGATCTGATCTCATCATCACCTCTACTAGTACCAGTACATACACCTATATATATATTACATATTATCTTTATGACTCAATATCTTCTAATACATACTGGTACAGGCTTAGATATTCTCACCTTCTTATACAAACTTAGATACCAGATATTGTTAATCTTGTACAAAATCTGTGATATCATTTATTTTACATTAGATTCAAACTTCTGAAAACCTTAAAGTAGCTTTTGATATATGAACAAAACTTTGATGTTACTAGACAAGTCTCAATGAAAACACTGGCCTAGGTCACAGAGCAATAGATAAGCTTATTAATTCTGTGAAAATTAGTTAGTCATTACAATTATGTGCAATAGGTGTATTCATGTTATCTATTGCTCTGCTTGTTGGCACGGGCCACCTATGGTACTAGACTTGCATTTTGATGAGTGAATAGGTTTCCCAATCGTAAATAAGTCGGCCATTCTCTCTACGCCTGACAATAACCTCGTATGCATCTGGCAGATTTATCGGACTACTTTCAAATATTAGGTCATGTGACAATAGCTTAATTTGTCTCCATTGTTGACATCTGATTAGTCTCTGACACCCAGACTTCAGTCTACGACGAGGATGGTCTTCAAGGGAGATAACTAGCTTCTAACGAGCTACCTATATTTTCTAACGCAGATGTAATTTCTGCCTAACAATTAAAGATTTTCTTCCAACTGCATACAAGGTTATTGTCAGACAATGGCCGATGAGATACAAATCATTAGGATTAGACCTAAGTGGACTAGTGTTAGATCTTTGTCTTGACTAATGAGCTCAATTGCACACTGCACGATGTTCCCTGTTTCAGTTTAACCCATGTAGGGTGTATAACGTTATTTCATTTCACTCAGTAATGGTACAGTGGTCATGACTTATTCTGTGCTAGTAGTCATTTCAAGGTGACGTATTTTCAATCTAAATTATTCCTACCCCTGAATTAAAACAAGACCACCAGATGGATAAAAAATGATCAGAAATCAATGGAGATTATTTTATCACAATGATTAGAGGACAGCAGATGTACCAACTTTAACTTTATAAATTGATTAAAATAACCTTTTGACCTAATCTGATGACATCTACTTTAAATAACCAATCAAATTCCTTCAAACTCTTACACAACGATAATGCTTGGTAAAAGCAGGTTAGGTCAAAATAATGTTCAAGAGTCCTGTCTTTAGACCCTACTCTGAAGTGGCTATATACCGGTACATAAAACAAAAACTTATAAAAAAAACGAGACAAAATGAAAATTGGGTCTAATATTAATAAGACTAACCCATGTCTAATCAAGATATTTCTAAAAAAAAGTTTGGATACAATAGACAAGAAAATTTTTGCAGCTAATGAAGTAAGACATAACCACATGAATATCATAAACTAGTTAAAAGTTAGATTAGTTCAATGAGTGATTGGTATAATGATAAAAGTATTTTGTTACTTGTAAAGATGGTACAGTACCACCTGTACACTATACTCAACCTGATAGTACTTAACATACTTTATTAGTACCACTAATAGTTACCATATTTACTAGTCATACTACCTGTTGATATTAGTACTTCAACTTCAAGATTAAAGATGGAACTTTATCTGTCTGAGTTTAATAAAGCTATGTCAGCTCCATTTTGTACTAATGAAATATATTTTGAAAAAATTGAAAATCTGGTTTGATCTTTGACTAAAATGAATTCAATAAAAAATATTTTCACTGTTAAAATAGTGCTCAATTGTAGAGTGATGTAGTAATATTAAAACAGAACCTGAAACATGTTACTCAGAGTTTCAGTCCATATTCAAACCATTTGGAAGGTATATCTGTACAGTTTGAGCTTGGTTTGCATGTAAGCTTAGTTATCTAAAAAGTTTAATGTCATGCATCTTTCAATGATCATCCTTTTAAAGGGATTGTAAAGAGTTTTTCTAGCCTTAATATGTGTATCAGGGACACCTTTGACTTCTATTTGTGACATTCCAATTCTATGTCTGATGCATGTGGTTCCTGCAATTCCAGAAAGAGTTAACCAAAAAAGGCGCAGCTCCTGTAAGAGAAAGGTGAAGCAAAATGTGAATGAGTCGGAAATTTCTAGTTAGAAATGCCGCCATCTTGCAAGGGGAGATAACATATATTATTACGCTATTGTGGTCTGTTGGTAGGTTGGTTACGACAGGAGCTTGCAGGAGCTGTCTCATTCTGGTTAATTCTTTCTGGAATTGCAGGAACCACAGGCATCGGACGAGGAATTGGAAGTGTACAGAATTCAAAGATAGACATAATATCATGCAATGCTCGACTGAATTGTCCAATATGGTCAGTTACAGTGACATGAGAATAGTGCTCTCAAAAAGGCACTGGCCTAGTTAGAAACAAAAACAACTTGGGCTTTGAGATGATTGGTGTAAGAATAGTATATATCTGAATATGAGCCTTAGATTTGCAGATGTTGATTGATAATCTGACAGGAAGTGATGTCATGAAATAAGCTATCTAGATATATAGTGGATGTAGAGAAATATAGATTATTGAAACACCTGTTGATATCATCTATGATAACAGTAGATCATATTTACAGTCAGTTTAAATAGATATACAAGCTTAGTGTATCCCTATTTATATACTATACTTATCTACTTGAACTTAAAGTAACCAACCCATCAAATAAAATAATATTTGTCATCTACTTGACTTTGAGTTATTGTCTCAATTGCACCACAGTGCAGAAAAGTAGGATGTAAAACTCCATTCATTTCATTTCACCTGCACTTACACCACAGGCATTGGCTAAATAAGGGGTACATTAGCTTACAGCTCTTAGTTAAACAATAAACTGTTTTCCTATGGCGGTTATGGTCGTATATCAGGACAAAGGTTGGTTCTAAAATTGAATAAATGCGCAATATTTACGTTTTCAAGACATTCAAATTTTGATAAAAAGACTATAGTATGAATTTAAGTAGGGCCTATTTCTTTACGTCTCAACGTTTGGGACTACTGACATGATTGTTTACCGTCTATTTGATACAATGATGTCAATGAATAATGAAGTCATTGGTTAAAATAACTTTGCCTAATGTTTTGGTGATGATGCAAATTATGGTGATATAGACGCCACACGAATTTGTATTAGTACATTGGACAAAACAATAGCTAATGTAAATATATTCATATATTTTCTTTTATGAATGGAATGATGTTCATAGGTAAATTTTGCTAAAAATTGATGTCTTCAGGGCATTTTGTAGGAATTCCCATGAATTTTTCACAAATTAAACTAAAATATTTGAAAACAAATCTGAATTTACTCCTTCTAATCTCTGGCCGGAGTAAATCACCTCTGTAATCAAGTCAATGTTTAATCATTTTTGTACAATCTATATCTTCAGGTTAATGAAACATGGCGGAGGAAGTGATAGTCGTAGCGAAATATGATTATAAAGCTGAAAATACTCAGGAATTGAATATCAAAAGAAATGAGCGATTGACGTTGTTGGATGATAGCAAGGATTGGTGGAAAGTTCAAAATACTGGGAACAAATCAGGATATGTGCCCTCAAATTATGTTAAACGTGTCAAACCCAAAGTAGGGTTGTTAACATCCTTAAAACATTCTATCGGAAGGAGTAAGAAGGATCAGCGTGAACGAGGAGCCGTGACGTGTGCATCGCCATCATTGCGAAATGGAGATGCGCACAGAAATCAATCACACCGCACACCACCACAAAATAATGCCACTGCACAAGTTATATACGAACCAGCTACAGTCAAGTACATGTACACTGCACAACGTACGGACGAAATGTCCTTGATGAAGGGCGAAACTATCGTTGTGGTTGAAAAATCAAGCGATGGTTGGTGGAAGGGACAAAAAGACGATGGAACAGTTGGGTGGTTTCCGTCAAATTATGTGGACATCAATACCAATGGAAACGAAGAAGCTGACAATGTACAGTATTGGACGGCAGCTGGTGCAGAAACTTTAAGTCAAGAATCGTTAGACATAGTCATTACTCTTTACCCTTTTAAATGTTCAAATAAGGAGGAATTAAGTTTTGAAAAGGGTGAAAGGTTAGAAATTGTGGACAAACCCGTGGAAGACCCCGAGTGGTGGCGTGCACGGAACAGTCGTGGTGAAATCGGACTCGTGCCACGGAGTTACGTTCAAATTCTAGATGACAATGTCAATGCTGCTGGTAGTGAAAGGGCCACAAGTGTAACTAGCTCATGTACTCCTCAATCGGAATCTACCAGTAGTTTATCTAACGCCTCCTCCTCGGGACAGGGGGGTCGGAAACAATTTCACGTGTCGGGACCATTATCAGAAAAACATTGGTATTATGGACGTATTACTCGCCAACAATGTGAGGATTTACTGGGTAAATATGGTGACAATGGTGACTTTTTAATTAGAGACAGTGAATCTACTGTAAGTTTTAGTGTCTTTTAACAATTTATTCTTTTGTGTGTTAGTGTTGATTGTTATTTTGTCACTTTGGTATTGGCTTCTGTAGTGCCAAGTTTATGTTTAAAACAGGATATAAAAAAAATATGTAAGCTTTGACAAAGCTCAAAATTGCATACCGGTACATGTTTCAGTTTCAGAAGATTTGCTTCTTTATTATATTGTACTGGAAAATCTCTAATACCATTCTTTTAAAGTATATTTGCCATCTTGTCCGTAGCTAAATTTTGAAAAAGTCATGCAAAAGTCTAGTAACCTTGTATAAGTCTTCGTTCCTCTTCAGCCCTATCAACTGAGCTGTAAACTTTACAAGTTAAAAAATAACTGTTGTAAATGGGTATGAATTATCCCCCCTACAGGATCATGCATTTGGATATTCTTGGACAATTCATATTTTATAATCAATGTGAAGCTATTGCAATTACCAGGTATTGTAAAGCAAATACAGCCAATCAGAGCCGCAGCGATATTGTTTACCACCTTCCCATTATTGGCTCTGATTGGATGTATTTGCTAGCATAAAATCCAATCAAATCATTGCATTTACAAACTTCTGTGATATAATGATGTCAAGGTATTAGACAGAGTTTGTCATAACTTGACATTGAAGTGGAATCTTTATTCATTGTTATGTTGCATAATATCATTTCAAAATTTGTTTCTTTTCTTTTTCAGACTGGGCATTTTACAGTTGTGTTAAAAGCACCGACTAAAAATAAACATTTTCGTGTACAAATTAACGAAGAAGAAAAATACGAGATCGGACCCCAGAAGTTTAATGATTTAGAAGAAATGATAGATCATTATAGAAGACATCCTATCTTTAAATCTGAATCAGAAAGACTGTATCTTGTTAAACCTTTTACCTTACCACCAGACTTCTGACCCACAGCTTCAACTAGAATATTGGACTCTTAACTTATTATTTTCAGCATTCTTTACGAGCTCAGAGATTATAATATGGCTACGTGACTGAAACTAGCTAGGGTGGATTTACATTAATACAATCTTTTTCATCTGGAGATTGTAAACAGGCAATTAAATTATGTTATTCGTTATTTTTTTCTCTCACCAACGTAATCTTAAAAACTTTATACCAATACTGTGTAACGTTAACGTTCATTTCAACCAATCACAGAGCATCATGCAGAATGCGTGTCTATGGGCGATATTACCAATGAGATAATGAGACTGCTGATACTTGCTTGTGAAAGTGATTCTAATTGGTGGAAGAGTGGCGCGTGATTGTCTGCTATAAATAGCTTGAAACATCATTAGTATGTGACTGTGGTATAAATCTCGTTAGATTACAATGGAGAAAGACAAAATTGATAAATACGAAACAAATTATCTAACTGTAATTAGATTGGTAGACAGGGAAAAAATATCTAAACTACGAGTGTTTTTTTAAAATTCTGGATTTGATAAAGTTTTGTCAAGTTTCGCTAAAATTATCCTTGAACACATAGAATCAATTGAATTAAGAGTTCTATTGGTTGATATTAAGTATGTTAAAAGGGACAAGTTTGCCATTTTGGGGGTTGATTTTAGTCTGGAATATATTTAAATAATCTTTAGAAGTACCGGTACTAGAAATGTAGGGAAATCACATAATTCCTTCAACAATATCTCAACCGTAGGAATTTTACTCACTATTTCTATATATGTGTCTTTTCTATATAATCATGAGTCGTCATTTTGACATTCAATTGCAGAAAATTCACGACACACACGGATTTGAAGGCTCAAATTTCGACGGTGAGTTGTGAACACTATTACTAATTAGCTCAGCTAAAAAATTCCAGTTTCTGAGACTAAAATATGATTGGTCAAAAAAATGGCCTACCTGTCCCTTTAATACATTCAGATATTTTGAAATTATTTGGTTCATGACTTTCTAAGTTCTTCAGTCACAGACACTATGGTTGGTTCAACATTAAAGTTTCAACTGTACATGTAAATCTACCCTTGCAAATAGTCTTAAGTAAATTGTATGCTCATAAAGTAAATTGCAGATTTTCATGCTAGACAAATGCTTCATTATACCATGTTATGTTAATATATTCCTAAAAGAGACTCGATTCCCTACAATATTATCAATTCCTGACAATATTCAGACTTACAGGATTGCAAAATAAGACTCGCTTCCTGTCAATATTTTCAATTCCTGATCTTCATGCAAAAATCTACTGTGAATAAACAGCTATTTTATTATGCACTTGCTTGAAGAATAACTTGTTATATTACTTGTTGCCAAAGACATGCAAAAGGCGGGACTAAATATGTCAATCAAAGTCTTTTAAATTAGACCACTCCTTTCTAGTAAGGAGAACACAAACACAGGTATGCTTTCGGCAAGGCAAATTTGTTGTTATATTGTATGACAGTTCTTCACATTTTGTCAAGAACATGCAAAAGGTGGGATTAATATTGTCAATCAAAATAAAATGACATTTGTCTGTCATTTAATAGGCCACACCCATATATAGAAATGTTGAAATAATGCCTTATATAGCGCTTCTAAATGCAATCAAACTTGTTTTTGTTTATGAATTGATGAAAAATTTCAACACAATGCTTTCAGTATCAAAAAACGGTGCAATGGAGATAGAATCTTCAATTAATCTACTTATTAAACAATATATAAATTTATTTTCTTCAAAAGTTATATTGATATACGACTTTGGTTTAATCTGTGAATCAACTCTATAAAAATATAGAATTAAGCTTGTTATTGCCTGTAGATCTTTGGTTCTCAACCTTTTCAACTCGAGGTACCACTTTCCTCTGTTTGGCTGCCATAAGTGATGCCTTCACTAAATATACAGAAAGAGTCCAAGAGAATAGTTAAATCTTAAAAAATCGTTTGTACTGGGTTTGAATCTGTCGCTAATATTTAAACACAAGTATTCAGATTGTCTTTGAGGCCCTGGGGGTGTTCACAGGTACCAAAGGTTGGGAACCAGGAAACCTATATACTGTTCTGCTCACTATTTACTATCTATGCATTCATTGATTCATTCATATTCATTCTTATTCATGGCTTCAATTCTCATTGGGCTTTCTCACTCAAAATGTACAATGTATCATTCGCTCTACAAGCTTAATTTCCATTTCTCATTTCTGAAAAATTTCGTGAAAAATTCTGATTTTAATTTTGTGAAATTTTATATAAAAACTTATAACAGAATAAGACAGGGCAATATCTACTACTTGTATTCGTTTATGTAGTAATTGCCTCTGTACCCAAAATATGCAAATAATATTGACATTTCTTTGTGAGAAACATCTTAAAATCATCATTATTCATAAAATCATCATTATTCATAAAATCATCATTATTCATAAAATCATCATTATTCATAAAATCATCATCAATTGGAGTCAGAATTATAGTTTATACCATTGTTATTTTCAATTCATTGTAATTATATTTCTCAAAGCAAGAATCTTTAATATTAAAAACTATTGATAAGCAATGCATTTGGAATATCTCTACATGTTTAAATATATTCTTTGAAATGTGTGGTTATGAAAGCTTAAAAAATACACAGTGATCACAAAGATTTTGTCTGTAGAAAATGTGTATCTGATTCAGTAAAAGATGCTCATTATTATTGCATTATTTTAAAATTATTGATGAATCATTATTACTTCATTAATATATGAATAATTTAATGATTACATTATTAATGTATTATTTTTAAATTATTGATGCATCATTATTACTTCATTAATATATGAATAATTCAATGATTACATTATTAATGTATTATTTTTAAATTATTGATGCATTATTATTACTTCATTAATATATGAATAATGAAATGATTACATTATTAATGTATTATTTTGAAATTATTGATGCATCATTATCAATACAGTAACATGTGAATAAGGCAATGACTACATTATTAATGTATTATTTTAAAATTATTGATGCATCATTATTACTACATTAATATATGAATACTGCAATTATTACATTATTTATGTATTATTTTAAAATTATTGATGAATCATTATTACTACAATACGAATATATAAATAAAGCAATGATTACATTATTAATGTATTAGTTTGAAATTATTAATGACTCATTATTACTGCATTGATATAATTAGGAAAAATGCAATTATTACATCTTTGATGCATCATCATTACTTCATTAATACATGACTAGTGTAATTATTATTACATTATTAATGTATTATTATAAATTTATTGATACATCATTATGGTTACATTATTAATGTATTATGATTACATTATTACAATTAATGGAGTTTTATTACATTATGGATGCATTATTATTACATTATGAATTCATTATTTCATTTAACATCATGATAATACTGTATGTAAGCTTAATGTAAAATTTGCAGATTTTAAACAGTTCTAAAAATTCTATGAAGTTTTAGATCTCGAGTGTGAACTATACAGTTCCTACTTTAGTTGCCAATAAGTCAGCTCAAGTGAACAATTTAAAGTTGGAGTTCTTTTCAAAGGCCTTATTTTAGTCTGGAACTTGTTGAACCATTTCTCACCACTGGTAGCTGTTGATTGACAAATGTCTGTCAGCTTCGTTAGTAAAACTGTTGGCATATTTTGTGGGAATTTTTTGCATTACCAACCGTTCTTAGGCCAATTTATGCAAACTTCATTTCTTTCACTGTTATCATTCGTCAGGAATCATTGAAAATTTATATTAAATTTTTCTGACTGTAGATGGCGGACATCTGCCATGAAATAACTGTCTGTGGTCAAGAAGGAGTCATCAAGTTTTAGACTAGCCTTATATATGTATGTTATGGATGTATCATTTTTGTATGAAAGGCATATAGTCTTATATGTGGCCTATCGACAGAGTACCCTGTATCACTTTCCAAACTTCAAATTCAAGGATCAAGTTCTTGTAGCGAGAAGAGAATTCAGTTTGAATATCTTAGGTCTTATTCTTAATGTGCTAAAATACCAATAAGTTTGAAAAATTAATGCATTTCCAGAAATATATCGTATTGAAATGCAAATCTGGTTATTTTGTTATTTTTTTTTCCTATGGTATATTAATGCAATCCGTGATCTGACAAAATTTGTATGCAACATATGTTCTAGCTCATTAGACTATTCTACTAATCAAACAATGACTATCTTTTTGTGAAGATTTGATCGAATAACTCCACAACTAATCTGAAAAGTGGTACAGGGAGCTTAATTTGAACTTTGTCAGCTGTTGAGGTCAATATATTGAGACTATATACCAGTAAAAGATGTAATATAATATAAATTTCATATGAATTATGGTTACAATTTTCTATTATCAGATAAATATAATCATATCTAATGCATGCAATCATATTTATTTCAAATATCTTAATAATAACTTGTGATTTTTTTTCAAGCAAAAAGTATTAAAAATACATGTACTAATTGACTTGCCCTTTGTTGTTGTTTGATATCTTGTTATGGTTTAGGGCCCTGGTTCCCAACCTGTGGTGTTTTCACCCCCTGGCGGTGTGGAACTAGGGTGTCAGGGGTGTGGCCAACTTGTGTAGTAGAAGAAGTTATTTGAATTGAGGAAGCACCTCACATCACTTTCTTGAAATGTGGATAAAACAAAGTTTTTGGGGTCCAGGTGATTGCTTCAGGGGTGTGAAGGCTGAAAAAGGTTGGGAATCACTGGTTTAGGGAATACAGTGGTAGCTCAGTAACATTTAGTTTAAGAGAGGACTTTGATGGTTCTATCTTCACAGGAATAGAATGCACTTGTGTCGGACATCTTATTCAGCTTATATGGGTATTAAATCCCATGGCAAATTTCATCTTGCAATGGAATGAACTCCTACTTTTCTGCCATAGTCAGAGGGCAGTGCACTGCAGTGTGCAATGAGGGAAAATTTTGCCAGGACAGCTTCAAAAGTATACTCTTGTTCAATTTCCATTTGTAGCTCACAGGGCCTAGATTTGTTGTCCCATTCGAACTAAGTATAATTTTGTTCAGCCTCTCCCACCTGCATCACTGACATTTTAAATGTAGTTCTACATCCTACTTTTTCATGTGTCGAGGCCATTAAAGATTGACAATGCCATACAGTATGCAATGAGGGGAAACCTGGGCACAACAGCGTTATTAGCCTACTCTTTTTCATTTTTCAATCCATTAAGTATCTTGATAAGCTCGTAGATACAGAGGCGGTAAGGGGTTGGGGGCAATGTCACCCTAAAAATGGATCACCCCACCCTGAAAACTGACCAATTCCATTACTGCATCTAACACCATACACTATTGCCCCTTTGGATATATTACTTTCCCTTCCAAACAATCATATCTGGCTTCAGGCCTGTTGAAAAGCACACAGGGCCTCAGTTAATTGTATACTTCCACCTCAGCCCCTTAAAACAGCATCACAGACATGGAGAAATCTAATGAAATAAAAGACAATAATAAAGTTAATGAAATGACTTTAATGAGATCAACTAATGACCTGTTTAACAAAAAGTTATTTATATCATTATTAATATCATAAAAAAGCTGAATTCTAACCAAATCCTAAAATAATACATGAAAATAAATAATAACTACAATAACAATGTTAGGGTCTATAAGTTAGGTTTAAATATTTGGAGTCTTTGGGAAGGGGAAATATACTGTATGTTTCCATGTGTAATGCACAGGTTTTTTTTTACCCCAAAATGGGCCCCTTACAGAAGGAGTGCACACTTAACACAGTGAAATAAATTTTGTGTTTTTTTCCCTTTGAAATTACCGCAAATCAATGTTGTGATCTGCCATTTTGCCTTCTTTCATTGCCATGTTGTTATGTTTATAAGGTCGTTTCCGACACTATGAAGTCATTTGAGTTTTCCCCTTTTCTCTTTTACTTCAATAGCAGAAGTCCTTGTTTGATGAAGAATATTCCATTTTATTCATATGCATAATATCTTTACCATAAACAGTCCAATTATATAAATTTCCCCAATAGCACAACCATTTTGTACTCTTCTTTCAGACTATGGTATATATTATTTGCCCAGCCATTTATGAAAGCCTTCTTTTTTATGGTGTGAAAAGGATGTTCCTTTCTAGATCTTGAAAAGCAGAACAAACTTAACTGAAGATATACATGCAGTTTAGAATAAACACTAAAAAAAAGTGCCATTTGAGCTACAAAGAGAACTCTTATCAATGAATAATAAAAAAAAAATAGCACTTGAAAATGGAAAAAAAATGCAAGTTAATAAGCAAAGGGAGAGTAAAAAAAAATATGTACATCTTATTTCTACAACATTGCATAGACAAAAAGTGATCATTGAACATAAGACAATAATAATGAAATAATAATAATACAATAATGAAATAATAATAATACAATAATGAAATAATAATAGTACAATATAATGTATACATAATGTACATTATTTTCATATTCAGCAGTTAAATTCAATATATACATTATTTTAGGGGGATATACAAACCACTCATTATGCCATTCATAATAATGTTATAATGCATAGCAAATAATGGGATTATTTGACATAGAAAATGGCTTCCATTTTGCACTCAAAAATTGATGTTAAAAGTCATTCAATATTATGTCTACTAACATTTGTTCAGCCCTTTGTTTTGTTCAGTTTTTCGAAACAATTTTTGGAAAAAATATTTTGCTAGTTTTGAAGATGGACATATATCCAATGACCATTAAATGTGATTATGTACCAAAAATTATCAATATGCATACAAAGTTATATTAAAGAAAATATTATTACAAAATTTTTTATGGGACATTGTCCCTGTGTTTAAAAGGCACAAGATTATGAAGAAATATTTGATTTTTAAATACGACAATGTGAACTCTCTGAAAGAGAAACTGTGCTCTATCAGAAGTTCAAGGCCAAGTATGTGAACTACTAAAGACAAAGCTGCAATATTCAACCTTCTCAAAATTGAGTATTAAGTGGATTATAGATCGACAAAAAATGAAAAAAAATAGAAATTCACATCCTTCTTTCTGCCACATTATAAATAAAGTTTATATGGATTTACAAAGTAAATCAACAGTATAAGGGTACATCCAATACATTCATCAGATCATAATAAATTATACAAGGAACAGCTTCGAATAAACCTAGACCAAAGTGCTTTCTTCATTACATGTATTTTCAGAGAAGTTGAACCCTTATAGACCCAAGTAAAAATATAAACTTGGCACAAAAAGTGTGTTTCTCAAAATATTTTGCAATTAACTTTTATCCCAATGGTAAAAATTTACATAAAAAATTTTACACCAATGATAAAAATCCATCATAAAATTTTGACGAAACATAGCTGTCCACAAATGTACACAGAAATTGACGCTCAAAGAATGTTCATTATAAATTGACTGTTCACTCAATCACGTAATACTTTCTTCTTTTGAGACTTCAAATATATTGGTTCCTAGACATTTTTTAACAATTTGTTCGAGTTTCTTTCTTTCTTTTCTTTCATCATCTATATCTCTCTTTAACTTTTTCTGTTCCTGTAAATCACACAAACAAAATTTTAATGCCATAATAAAACTATTTCTATGAATTCATATGATTATATTAAAATGAATTGGATTATTGCCCTCGAAACAGTAAATTTTTCACAAAGAAATTTCAACCAAAAAAGTCCGCAATTATTGCTGGAAATAGTCAAATAAAATTTCAAACTTATTAAATATGGGTTTCCTTATTTTTTTTAGTGTCAAATTAAGCAAACTATTTGATTAATTGGTGTTTGTAATGAATTGTTATATATTCTTAATCATATAATTATGTTCTTATCGCATATAATTAAGAGTTTTAACCAATCAGAAACGTCAATGTTTGTACAGTCTGGATAAACAAAAAAAGACTTTTTGACCTTTTTTGATCAGTCACTCATTGGAATTCTGCTGACGTAATTCTCTTCTAATTTAGCTAATTATGAATTCATTATAGACATGTGAGACAAACTGGTATTTTTCCAAGTCATTAGAGCACCTTTACTTTCTATTCATATAAGTATTAGCATTTTCATTTTCATAAATGAAAATAAGGGAACCCAACTTTAAATGTGCTCATGTTTATATTTTTATCAAGGCAGATCATCATGATAATTTCATAGCTGCTTTTCCAATTCACATAAAAAAAATCGTAAAAATATTTGATTTCCAAATGAAAATCTGAAATACAAATTGATGAGTAGAGATCAATTTTTTTAAGAGAAATTGTCACATTTTCTTCTGACTCAAAATTAGTTCATTTACCTGTTCTAGATCTTTAACTTTATCTTTCAAAGCATAAACACTGTCTACCAATGTTCTGAAAATATTAATAATCAACATATAGAAGACAATCAACCAAGGGGGGCAATAATAAAATACATCACCACATTGCAACTTAAGTCAATAAAGATGAAAGTGTAAATGGACCCAACCATTATAAGTTTGACATTATGGGAAATTAAACCTCATTTCAAACCACTAATCCTGATTAGGATTTTATATCAGAAACATACAATGGCAGTATGAGATGAGGTCTGGTCTATTGGATGAGTAGCTAGTCTTTTTAGGTGGAACATTCTCCTTTTTGACTTATCACTGTTGTCCAATGTGTTCCCCAATTTGAAACCTTGGTGTCCTGATGAGGATTTCATACTAGAAACACATGTCAGCAGCATGAGATGAGCTGATTTGAGAATCTTTAAAGGTAGAATATTCTCATTTTTGACTTATCACTGTTGTCCAATGAGTTCCCCAATTTTAAAACTTGATGTCCTGATGAGCATTTTATACCAAAAACATGTCAGCAGTACGAGATGAGCTTGTGTCAATTTAGAATTAGAATAAATAAACTTACGTCTCTGTCAAACCATCCACATCCATGATTTTCTCATCTTCAGCAACCAAAACTTGGGGATTGAGATGAACTAAAACGTGCAAAACAGAAAAAAATACACACAATGAAACAACGGTGCACCAAATACATTACAAATAGCTCAAAACAATCCAGACAAAACTTAGTTATAATTTATTGTCAAAAAACTTTCTGAATTTTTTTTTTTTTTTTTTTATCAAATTCAGTTTTGTCAAAATTCCAATGAGCTAACATAATATGCATTTTTTGAAATATTTCAAAATTTAAACCAAAATTTTTTCTTAGATTTTTATGATTTTTAATAAAAGTTAGAAATTTTCATATTTTTAAGGTAATTTTTGCTAATTGTTTTGAGCTGTGAAACAGCAAAACAAAAGAGATCTAATGAAAATAAAATCCTAAAAAAACATCTTTGGGATTACAATTAAAAACAGCACATTTCCTTGCAACTGAACTACAGATGCCAATGATGCTTAATGCAAATGAATGACTAAAATTGGCACAAATTGGCTGATTCATGGTATTGCCCTCTACTTTATGATAATCCAATATTTGCACAATGTAATTGTTGTATTTTGGTATATAATGATAAAGAATGGTATGATATTAGCAAATTACACTTAGAACAGTCTATCATGCACACAACATTCAATACTGTTTAAACCTGTAGGATCCTGGCCATGTATTTTCGAAACGATCTGAGCACTATGATGTCCTAGAACTAATGTTAAAAGATAAGAATCTAGGACATCCTAACGCTAAGATCGTTTCGAGAATACGTGGCTCGGTTCCTCAACTAGGGTAGTTGTTCATCCTCTAATATAATACACATACAACATGGGGTATCTACGAGGCCTCTTGGGCAATATTGAATAGTAACATTTCATTATACCATTGGTGGATTTGGACATTACGCATTATTCATGTTTTCTCCCCTTGCATTATGCTTCTGCTGTTAGAGGGAGTTCAAGCCCTAAAGCTGGAATACTTTATGAGATACTACCTCTTAGAATGGTCGTAAAAGTTAAAGTCTAAAACTTGGTCAATAAGTGTATATATTCATCAGTTGGACTTACCAGGTACCATGACTAAAGAATAGAATCTCTATATAAGATGATATATCCATTAAACTATATAATTATTGAAAAACGCTTCTAAGCATGTTTCAAAGTTACTTAGTTTAATGAATTATTACTGTGTTATAGATTTATTGTATTAAAGAGGGATTCTGTCATATAGTTTTGACACCAGGTAAGTTCACTGATGAACAAAAGCTCATTTTTATTAAAGAGGTATTATACCTTTAACATAACTTATGTTTCTAAAAACATACCCAGTTTTTTGTCCAATTGAGACATTTTCACCAAAATTCCTGCTTCCAAAACATAAACTATAAGCTTAACCATGTGTGGACTTCGAAAATAGGCAAATAGGGTTGTCCAAATTGTAGGTACAGTTTCATAATTTGTTATTCCTAATATGTCCAGCAATTATATCAAAATATATCAAAACATTCCAACAACATTCAAGACAACATACACATGCAACATCTAATAGCAATCAAATCAAATCAAATCAAATCAAATCAAAATCAAGCAAATATATATACACAATAAATAACATTCAATTCCTGGTGAAGAGAACAACTAAATACAGATAGAAAGTAGTATAATTGTAGAAGAACCATATGTCTAATTTTTTATTCTGAATGGGGCTATGGCTAGCTGAAATTAAGCTCTATCCATTTCACACATATTTTCAGATAGAGGGGCAAAGACTGTTGAAAGCTGAACAATACGAAAGGATGGAGACCCAATAACATTTCAGTTTCTTTAAGCTTTCTTTGAGAAGTAAAACCATTTTAAGCTATATTTAGCAACTTTCAGCTCTGATAAAATACATTTATTTTAGAAGAAAAACAACTTACAATTTTTAAGACAAAAATTGGACATGACATGTTACATAATAATGTTGGACATCTCTTTAAAAAATATATCAATGCTTGCCAGACATGATAATGTATGCCAACAACAGCAATCAAATGCTTATATTATATATATTTTGCTTGAATATATGATTAATCTCCCTTATGAAAGCTGAATATCTAGCCAATCAAATGCCTTGTTATAAAGCCAATCGAAAGCATGATTAAAAATGGCAGCAAAAACTAGTAGTTATATGTCTTTCGAAGGGCACTGATTTGCTGTATTTTGCTAGTGTATAATCCAATCAAATCACTGCATTAATGAACTTCTGTGATACAAGAAATGTGTCTAATGATGTCAAGGTATTGGACAGAGTTCATGATAGCTTGACATTTGCAGCAATAGCCTAGAGAATTTCTAACTCAAAATAAATTTGCGAGCACATCAAATCGTTTTAAGCGATAATACACAATTTAGCTTTTTGAAGTCTGTAACAATGGACACTTTATAAAAATTCTCATTATAAAAAATCTTATGATTTTGAAAATGCTTATTGTCTTGAAAAACATTTTTGGTTTTGAATAAAAAAAAAAATTCTTCTTTGGCCAATGTAAACTAGTAACTTGACAGCTAACATCTAAATGTTTACAGAACTATTTGGTAATACACATTAGCTATTTTCTAGTTTTGAAGTCTTAAAGATGGGTTACCTTATTTTTTTAGTGTTGAATAAATTTTTTTTTATTAGTTGGTGTTTCTAGTGATTTATTCTGTATTCTTAATCATATCATTACGTTCTTATTGCATATAATCAAGAGTTTTAGCCAATCAAAAATGTCTATATATGTACAGTCTGGATAAACGAAAAACTTTTTGACCTTTTTTGATCGGTCATTTGAATTCTGCTGATAATTCTCTTCCAATTTAACTAATTATGAAATAATTATAGACATGTGAGACAAACTGGTATTTTTCCAAGTCATTAGAACACCTCTACTTTCTATTTATATCAGTGTTAGGATTTTCATTTTCATAAATGAAAATAAGGGAACCCATCTTTAAAAAATGGACACCTTGTTTTTTTAAAACACTTTCTTAATTCAGACTATTTTCTTGTCTTAAAGTCTTGAAAAATGGACATTAAAATTCACCATGGTTTCATAAAACACTTTTGTAATATTGGCCATTTTCTAATTATGAAGTCTTGAAAAATGGACACTTTAAAAAATTCACAATATGATAGTCTTTGAAAAAAAATGTCACTGGTTTTTTTTTAAAAAAAATAATATCAAATTTTCACAACCGTTTCATAGCTTTTGCCATACCACGGGCAAGAGGAAAGGTGGCACAACAAAATCCTTGCATCATATGAGTTCCTCGTAAGAAATTGTAGTCATCTAGTTCTGGTGAGATCAAGGGATCTGAAGCTGCTGAACCATCTGATGTTGATCCATCACTAAGACGTAACTTAGTTAAATCCACTGGCAGCATGAAGAGAGGAAGTGAACATATTCCATAAGAAAAAGATAACTGACATTAAAGGCCACCTTAAAGCATAATGGACTATATAGGTTCTGAGAGTATCATGACAGAAACAGTGATCGGTTGAAGATGAAGCTTCAAAGAAGAAATTGGAGAGGTACTGTGAAATCATTAATACTGGTAGGGGCAATCCTTACATACGTGACCCCACAAAGTTAAAAATACCAGAAGATCAACTAAAATTTTAGCTTGATAAAACTTTATTTAATAACAATCCAAGAAGATATGAATTTGAAAATAGGACCAAATTTTTTTTGGCAATCCTTATGTACTTTCCAGGATCCAGTTTTAATTGCTGGGCTTTCAAATACTGGTCTAAAAAATCGTATGGTCTAGCAATAAGCCATGATGGATGACAAGATGAATTTGCCCAAATAACCCATGCAGATAATATTTTATAATCTATACTTGTACCCCTACACTTTTTATCAGGCCTTGTACTTCATGCTTCCAAGCAATCATTTCTGTCAAAGGAGTCTCAGAACCTATTTCCTGGCACTGTGCTGATAAAACACCCTATAATGGTTTTAAAAATCTGAAGAGAACTGAATAAGTTTGGAAGAGAAGACACAATATTGTTTAAAGAAGATCGTGCGAAGTGAATTTCATATCAAAATAATGAATCAATTGTTAATATTTCAAGGGAAACATAACTTTAATTAAATCATAATATTTCAAACATCTTAAATTTGGATTAAAAATTTTGTAATAAATTTGCTTATATTCTGGCATTATCTGGACAATTTGGAATTACAGGAATCATTAGCAGAAGAGAGAAAATCAGGATGGTGCCAATAGTATCAAGAAGTTTCCTGGATGTAAAATTCCTCTCAATTGAATCCAATTGAATAATATTTAAAAAAAATTCTTTTAAATCAACTGTTGATTGATAAAAATTGGGAATTATGAAGAAATGTTGGAAATATTATGGTTCAATATTAAAAACATACTGTTAAACATGCCTAGTAGATACATGTATAACTTCTGATGGTAATATTGAGCAACATAACACAATTTACATCATTTTTTTAAAAATAAATATTGATTTTAAATGAGCTTTAAGCATGTCCAAGGAAGCTGAAATTGAGCTCTATCAGCAGGTGAAGCAAATATTTCAAAAACCATACCACATTAAAAATTTGACAGTGTTTGAGACAAATACATATATAATAGTTTGATCTCGTTTATCAAAAATAATTGTGTTCATGGTTCTATGACTCAATAAGTATCATAATTTATGCAAAAATTCCCCAAACTTTGTGTTATTTTCCTCAATATTGCCAATGAGCTAGCATAATACTCTAAATATTATAATCATATAACAACTGAATACATGTAAAATATATGGAGGTAATTTTGGCAACCCGTAAAATAAAACTGAATCTTCAGCTTGCTGGTAGTACTATAAATTAGACTGAACTAGTTCTAGAGAGACACATTCCACAAGAATAACGTATGTAGGTTAGGGCAGGCACCGAGCAGATCTTACGCCTACCTTTATTCTTCCGCAGATCTGTGTATAATTGTCGACCTAATTAGTTAAATAATTAAATAATTTATTCCCAATATACAAATCTTTTCAAACTCTTATGAATGCACTATTGAGTTTATAATTCCCATTCTATTCTGGAATCAACATTACCCTTTGCTAGGAACTAATCTTACCCTTAGATACTAATCCTACCCTCTAATATTGATTGTCCCCTTTGATACTAATCTTTTTCTTCAACATTACTACTTCCCTTTGATACTAATATTACCCTTGAACATCAATATTACTCTTTGAATATCAATATTACCCTTTAATACTAATACTTCCCTTTGATACTAATACTTCCCTTTGATATCAATATTCCTCTTTGATACTAATATTCCTCTTTGTTAGTTTTATTACCCTTTGATACTAATTCTATTCTTGAAGACTAATACTTCCCTTTGATACTAATATTACTCTTTGATACTAATACTACCCTTTGATACTAATACTACCCTTTGATACTCCCCTTTGAAACTAATATTACTCTTTGATGATATCAATATTACTCTTTGATACTGATATTATTTTTTGAATAGAAATATTTCCCTTTGATACTAATCTCATTCTTGAACACTACTATTTTTGTTAGATACTAATAATATCCTTAAATACTAATATTCCCTTTCAATAATCATATCTCCCTTAGATACTTATTATACCCTTGAGTACTAATATTTCCCTTTGTTGGGTACAAAATCTCAGTATTACTTTTAACTTTCTAGTTTGAGACATTTAGTTATACTGTCAAATGAAAATGAAGTCAATGAAAAAATCACAGTAAAATCTGGAGTAGAATGAAATTCATGACTTGAATAGAATGAAAATTCATGATTTGAATAAAATGAAAATTCATGATTTGAATAGAATGAAAATTCATTTTATGAACAAAAAATCCTATTAAGAAGACAAGAGCTTAGAAACTTAAAAAATCCTTATGTATATGTACATTACTCAAGTTCATGTAATGAGATCCTGATGTATTTCCAGATTCAAATCCTGAGGTGTCCAAAGATCATTGGAATCAATTCTCAGACTCCAAGTGATCTTAAACCTCCTGTATTCATCAACCCTAGGTTATAAGATGTATAGGCGCCAAAGTCTTAGCCTAATGAAAAGATATGTAATGAGAAATGGTATTTACTTACATGATGTTAATGTATGCCTGGTTTTAGCACTATTATGATAGGCTTCTATAACTTCTAATATAAACGCATCTTCATTATAAACCTTAGGATCATCTACAAATAGAAACAAGCAAGGAATAGTTTACACCAAATCCATCAAGGCTTACTTACAGTTGAGTTTAATTTTTTGTACTAGTTGTTCCTTACAAAAAGCTCTTGCAGATGATGTTTTTTGAAACTATTTCTGAAATTATCTATAGCTAGACTATTGTACAGGAGTGCTGGCACGATATATCGGTGAATCGATGTATTGCGATACAATATGCCAGGATACGCATATCATATCACAACGTTCTGTATCGATACCTGGCGATACCTTTTTTTCTATATTTATAAGTTGTTCTATGATATTACAATTTTTGTCACTGAAATTGTTAAAAACTTTTTATAAGACAGTGGACACTAACCACCTCTATCAACTATATTACCAAATATCACAGTTATAAAGTTATAAATTAATATATATTGAAACTTTTAATAAGACAGTGGACACTAACCACTTCTATCAACTATATTACCAAATATCACAGTTATAAAGTTATAAATTAATATATATTGAAACCTTGAAGATAAAATGTTAATATTTATCTCATATCGTGATATGTATTTATCGTGATATGCATCGTATCATGATATGTATCGTATTGTGATATGTATCGTATCATGATATGTATCGTATTGTGATATGTATCGTATCCTGATATGTATCGTATTGTGATACGTATTGTATTGATACCCAGCACTATTGTACAGTAAGCATGGTTAATAGAGCATAGCAAGCAAGGGTAAGCACATGACAGAGCTTAAAATTATTCCAGGTAAAAATGGATAGGAGAGAAATATTCTAAAAACTCTGAAACAAAAACAAGTACAACATGCTTAATTTCATGCTCAATGCTTTAATATTTTCAAAATAACATAATAATTTGAATAAGAATCATTTTGAAAAAAAAAATCTTAAGCTTTGTGGATTCTCTTTCTTAAAGAAATTCTCAAGAGCCCTACAACTACTATGTCAAAGAATGAACTTGAGAACAATACCATCCACCACACAAAAACCAGCACATCTTTTAAGAAAAACGGAAAGAAAATGAGAATTTACAAGGCAAATAACAAACAAAAGCTGTGTTGGGAAACTGTAAAAAATAAAAGATTTAAAAAAAGGTGACCATGCTACATGCAAAATTTTCACAATCAAATAAAAAAAATAAAACCAAATGTCAAAAATCTCTACAAAAAAAAATCATCAATACTGCCAAACTGGCGTTTCGATTATTGTTTTACTTAAAGATGGGTTTCCTTATATTTTTGGTGTCAAATTAACAGTTTTAACCAATCATAAATGCTTATGTTTGTACAGTCTGGATAAACAAAAAAAGACTTTTTGACCTTTCTTCATCGGTCACTCATTGGAATTCTGCTGGTAATTCTCTTCTAATCTAGCTAATTATGAATAAATTATGCACATGAGAGACAAACTGGTATTTTTCCAAGTCATTAGGACACTTTCTATTCATATAAGTATTGGGATTTTCATTATCATATGAAAATAGGGGAACCCATCTTTAACAAAAAAAAACATGTGCAAACAAAGTACATTAATCGCAAAAAATTGGATACAAATGTATAAACCAAAAAAAAATTCACATGTATGTAATTCAAAATAAATCATAAATAAAAAAAATACCAAATACAAAATGGGATGTGAAAAAAAGGGAAACACAGGGAATAGCAAATGCATATGGATCACAAAAATGGGGTTAAAAGGGGGAAAAAGTAAGATAACTAACATTTATTTCTCACATTGTAATCACATTCATCACCTGAATGGGTTCGAACTAGTGATAAAAAATATATCAGAAATTATTAGTAGCTATAACAACATAGAACAATGGTTATACATGGAACTTATAACAAATATAGAGTCCTCTAAATAGATTCTTTACATGATGATAGAGCTCAATTTGAGCCAACTGTATCACTTTTCAGAAATAAATTCCTACACCAGGTTCTTCTAAATTTCAAGATAAATCCTCCATGTAAGTTTAGATTATTTCCACTTCTCATGAGTACTCATTTATTATATTGAAACAGGTTTAAAAAAATACTGCATTTAAGAAGGTTGCTTGCAGCCAGAAGCAATTTAAATGTAGAGAAACCAAAGTTTGATTGTCATTTTGAAAAGTGTTACTGATGGCTCAATTGAGCTCTATCATTCAACTGGTAAAGAAAATATTAAGATTCGTTTAACAAATATAAGCTACTGCTACTACATGACCACCAGTTGTTATTTTAGAGTCTCATAATGCTGTTTAAGAAGCCTTTAGTTGAAGTTACTGACATCACTGAATGTCATTGATATATATAGACAAAACAAAAATAGATTTTTCATAAAATTGTACATAAACTGAGTGCCATGTACACAATTATTATAAGAGTACTTATTGGAAATATTAAAAACAGGAAAAAAAACCCATGTTGTTATTACTCAGAGTTTCACGCTATGTGATTAACTCATTTCGATTTCGATGGTACAAAAATAATGAATTCAAAAAATCTAAAATTTCGAGAGAAAAATTCACAAGAAAGCAATAGTGTCAGCCATGGAAGGACCCAACAACTTTATGGAGAGAGCTAGTTTAACAGGGTGACAAAACTGCTTGCAGTGTGTATATTTACCATCACCTCAAATCTTCTCAATGCTGAAGTGATATTAATAAAAGCTTTCAAAATATTTCTGAACTATTGGCTCATTAAATGAACACCAATATAATCTTTAATCAGAATCAAAATCTAAATGTTCAAAATTTGGCAACACTTATTTAATTGTAGAGCTTTCGTTTTCACCAATTCTGTTTCAATCCAATGTCTATCGTTCTTATGTGGTTTTGAAAGTGAAAGTAAAATAAATTTTTCAATTTTAACGGCTTTGAGCTCCTAAATACGCTATTGGGTTCCTGCTTGACAAAACATGTCCCTCTACCATTATCCAAAAACCATTTAGCTTGTATGGTAGTTTCGATAGTGTTCCAACAATATGAGCCAGATTTCCGGGACCACAAGAACACCATCTTCATAAATCCAATCAGGCACCAAAAAAAGCATGTCATTTCAATTCACTGGAACCATAGACATCAAACAAGACAAAGGAATGGTGCAAACAGACGCTAGAAGTGTTCGTAATACACATATAAAAGTTAGAAAACCTCTTTACAATCCCTTTAAATTTCTGTGAAATTTTCATCAAATTTCTTATCACTATCACTCCAGTAGAGATTATCCAGTACACACAACTTACTGGGGCTAAGGAAAGTGTTGAAAGAATAACGACAAGTTTCTCTCCAACTTAAAGGTACCCACTTCCTAAAATTATCTAAAATTTCAAACCTTGATCTCCTGTTTTCTAGTGTTGACAAGAAAAATAGTAAATAGTTACAGTTGCTAGACATTTAGGGAATGAGTACCTTAACATTAGCAAACATTTTATGGTGTTGAATACCAAAAATTGTTCAACTACATGAACAATAGTAGCTTTGTGGATCTGGGATAAGCCAAGTTGATAATCTGAATTGTTAAGTAGTATCAAGTGTTTGAAGAGTAGTAGTGCTAGGTATTGCCTATAATTCCATGACATAGATATCGCGCTCAAAGGGAAATTGCATAATACATATTTCAATATTGGGTACAAAAGTGATTTTTTTGCTACTTTGCCTTTTTTCAAAATTCGGGACCAGAGGGTGAATTTATTATTTATTATTTATAAGCGCTTTTTTATATTTTCAACTGGAATAAATCCGAGCGAGCGAAAGCATTTCTTATTTATTTCCACAAATTTAATGTACAATTAAGGCAACAATCAGGCAATTTTGGGCATGTAAAACTGACTATTTATTTTGCATGACCTTAGAGGAAAAATATAACTAATAATTATTTGTGAATAAATTGTTTACAGCTTACTGCTGCCATGTCTAAGTTTACAAATGAAACTTCATCTTTCTATTTCTGTTTCATTTATGATGATGTCAAATTATCACAACATATATAAAATGGCACGTCATATAGTGACCTAACAGTTAACATATTTTTCTTTCAATGTTTGAAATTTTAAGTACTAAACCCATATGACAAAATCTCATGACCTAAGTAACTGTACTTACCGAACACAAGACAGTTAAGTTTTTTTTTTAAATTCATGTTTGTAAAATGTTTGCTAATGTCAGATTAATATATGGTTAGTATAAACACCAAAACAGCAAAAGCAATTTAGCAAATCTAATAGAGGGTCTGGACTAAATAGAAACAATATAAAGCAAATACAATAATAAGCCACATACCTGGTTTCCTTTTGCTTTGAACTGATTTCCGGGCTGCTTTAGGACTTTTTAAAGCATCTTCTCTACAAGCTAAAGATGGTCTGATGGGTGGAAAAGGACGTAAACAAGACATGCTCCAGGTGCTGTTGGATTTCATCAGACCAGTTTGAGAAACTTTGGCTGTTTTAGCTGGTGTCATTGTACTGATGCTTGGCTGTGACTGTGAGATCTGAAAAGAACCAAACAAACAAACATAAGACTAAAAGACGTATCGAGATAGTCTATCCCTTTATCAGTAAGTCAAGGGAATCAAAGAAATATATTCAGACCAAAAAAAATTGCTCCAATGAGCATAATTGATGACTAATGACTAAGAATTTCAATACAGTCATCACATGAACGTGTTTATCAAGATCGTTTTTGTTACTCATAGAGACAATTTGTAGAAAGGTGTAAAAAGGCTGACCTCAAAATTTGTACATTGAAGGAAAATATGTGTTTATTGATAGTTGTCTGATAAACACAAATTTCATATTATGACATAAGCGCTTATTTAAAGATGGGTTCCTTAATTTTCATGTATGAAAATGAAAATGCTAATACTTATATGAATAGAAAGAAGAGGTGTTCTAATGAGTTGCAAAAATACCAGTTGGTCTTACATGTCCATAATTAATTCATAATTAGTTAAATTAGAAGAGAATTAACAGCAGAATTCCAATGAGTGACTGATCAAGAAAGGTCAGAAAGTCTTTTTAAGTTTATCCAGACAATTTAACAATTATGATTGGTTAAAACTCTTAATTATATGCGATAAGAACATAATGATATGATTAAGAATACATGATAATTCATAAGAAACATC